CACTTTGAGTCCTGTGATCTTCCTATTTTCAATTGCCTTTTCCATGAGATTGGACAAACCTTCTGAACAGAACAAAAAGAGGTAGGGAGATAAGGGATCCCCTTGTCTAATACCTCTACTAGGCTTAACATATCCTACCCTTTCCCCATTAACATTAAACGAATACGTCACTGAAGACATGCAATTCATAATCCATCTTACAAAAATAGGACAAAAACCCATTTTTAGCATCATTCTACCCACAAATTTCCACTCCACACAATCATAAGCCTTTGACATGTCAAGCTTTAGGATCATAAAAGCAGTATTACCCTTCGTTTTGCTTTTTATAAAATGCATGATTTCATGGGCCAAAATGATATTATCCACAATCTGTCTACTAGGTACAAAGGCTGACTTGGAAGAGCTAATACATAAGGCAATAACTCTTTTTATTCCGTTGGCCAGAATTTTTGCAATGATTCTATAGAGCACATTACAGAGACTAATTGGCCTATAATTTGGCAGAGAGATAGGATTATCTACCTTTGGAATGAGGGTTATACTAGTCTCATTTATGCTCTTCAAAAGATGGCCATTACTCAAAAAACGTTGGATAGCAGACACCACATCATTTTTGATAGTATGCCAATATCTTTGAAAAAATAAAGGTGTCATACCATCAGGTCCAGGTGCTTTGTTTGGGTGCATGGAGAACACAGCTGCTTTAACCTCCTTTTCCTCCACTGGTTGTATCAAACTTTGGTTTAGCCTACTTGTAATTGATACAGGCACCCCTTCTAGCACTTCTTCTATATTTTTTGGCTGAGATGTTGTGTACATTTCTTCATAGTACCTGCAAATCTCCTGGATGATTTGTTGATTATCCGTACACCATTCGCCATTTCCTTTCTGCAAGTTGGTTATTTTATTCCTTTTCCTTCTTGTTTTCGCGCCAGCATGGAAGTACGCTGTGTTCTTGTCTCCTTCCTTGGGCCATCTACTCCGTGCCTTTTGTGCCTAGAATAATTCCTCAGCTTTGTAGGCACTGCTCAATTTTAGTTTCATTTCCACCATCCTCCCTCTTTTTCCTTTATCGTTTGACTCGTTGAGCTCCTATATCTTCTCTTTAATCTCCTTGATCTGTATTGCAGTGTTTTGTTTATGCAATCTATTCCAACTTAACAGGGCTATCCAGCACTCTCTGATTTTCCTAGTAATTTTGAACATCCTTGAGCCCACCTGTGGTTTTTCCCAAACAGTTTTTACTACCACTTCTACCTCTTGGTTTTGGGCCCATTTTTTATCAAACACAAATCTTTTCCTCATTTTCTTTAGCTCGGGTATAGTAGTCAGTACCAACATTGCATGATCAGAGGCCTCATTTTCCACATGCTTGCAAATTGCCTCCCCGAACATTTGGAACCAACCTGTACTACTCAAGCATCTATCGAACCTTTGTTTTATCTCCCCTTCATTTTCCCATTGGTTGCTCCAAGTCCAAGGGTTTCCTTCAAAATGTATATCTACCACCCCAGTTCTCTATATGAAGTTCCTGAAGTTCCTAAACCTGCGCTCACTTCTTGTTCTACCCCCCCTCCCCAATTTTTCTTCATTTGATATGATATCATTGAAGTCTCTAATCATCATCGATTTATCCCCCCATACCTTCATTCTTTCCTTCAAAAACTCCCATTGACCCCTTCTGATTACATCATCTGTACTAGCATAGAATCCAATATACCACCATTCTTCCCTTACATCCTCATCAATAATTTTAATCTCAATTGAACATTCCAAAGTATAGATCCCTCGGACTTCTGCCTCCTGCTTCCAAAACATGGCTAGACCACCAGCTCTACCTTCTGGTTCTACTACAACATTTTTGTCAAACTGTATTTGCTTCATGACAACATCCATAACTCTTTATTCATTTTTTGTTTCTGATAGAAATACTACCATTGGAGAGTGGAGGCATATGACCTCCTTGAGTTGGGGAACTGTCAAGGGGCTCTCGGTACCTCAACAGTTCCACGCCATGACTCCCATTTACACTGTGGAGACTTCTCTGGGCTTGCCTCCATCGCCCCTTGTTGTGTTCGTAGTATCACATCCAGTTTCAGCATTTTTGGTTTTTGCTCCTCCACTTCGTCAATCTCCATCATACTACCTCCCTGAGCATCACTTGCTAATTACCTCTTCCCTCTCATTCTGGAACTTCCTATTTCGTTTGTAACATCAGTCATAGGTTTCCTTGTGACTCTTGGCCTTCTTTTCGACTGCATTCCTCCCTTTTTAGTTCTATCTTTTTCTTCCACCACATGTTGTTGATTCTCCTGCGCCCTTTGTCCCTCATTGTTACTCAGTCTACTTCTTTTTTCACAGTCATCCGTGTCCATCACCTGGACTACTACAAGCTCTTTTTTGTTTTCATCCCCCTGTTGGTGCCTTTGTTCTATTTCACCCCTTTTAACACTCATCTCTTTCCCCTCCTTACCTCCACTAGCTCCCTCTTCTCTTTCTACTCCCTCAATATTTTTTATTTTTCCTCCATCTTTTTTTGAATTCTTCTCCTCTTATTGCTCCTTACTCTTTTCCTTTTTTGTCATATCCCCTCCCCTATTCTCTAGGCTAATCTCTGTCCTACTTTTCTGATCTCCCACCCCTTCTCTCTCCTGTATCATACTTACTTGTCACTTTTGTGCATCTATCCTCCCTATCATGCTTCCTTCTAATGATCTATTGGCCCTTAAAGGAGAGGCCATGATATGCCCTGCCCTCATCCATGCCCCGTACTAGTCTTCTCTCTAGTTATGCTCATTTTCCACAGTTGCTTTGCATGTTTTATCTCCATGCCCTATTATTCCACATTTGTAGCAGAAATCTGGGCATTTTTCATATCTAAACTCAACCCAGATTGGGTTCCCATTGAACTTGACAGTGGTACCCCTTGCCAATGGTTATGATATATCTATTTCCTCCAGGATTTTCATATGTCTCCCCTCCTTTCCTCCTCTTGGTGGGATGATAATTTCTCTAATGGCAGAGAACATTTGTTCGAGCTTAAATTCCACTGCTTTACTCAACCAGTGGATTGGGAGATTCCACACTTGTATCCACATGTGAGATACATGGAACACTTCTGTACTTTTCTCTATATCTGGAGCCCATGGTTTTATGACAAGCAGTTGGTTATCAATAACCCATGGTCTTCCATTCATGGCTTTATCCTTGTCTTTGTCCTCTGCAAAGTTAAACTGGAAGACACTGGGGCCGAGTTCCACAACGTGTAGGTTCCTGGGGTAGCCCCACATGTGTGATGTGTAGTTTTTTACCCCTGTAAAGTTTGGAACTTTCTCACCCATAATCCTTCCTACCAAGCTCAACTTACATTCCTCAACTCTCTCTAGCACATCCTCTGTCTCTAAGTCTATTCCTGCCATTTCTTTGTTGCTTAGGTCAAACCGTTGGAACGCCTTTGTGAGTGTCGCCGCCATACTGCCGTGCTTCTAAGTGGTGCCTGTGTCAATTGCAGCTGCTAATACCAGGTTTGCTACCTTTTGGATCTATAGGAGTCAGAGCAATCTGAGTTAACCACAAGATAACATAGTTTATAAGCAGAAGTAAAAGAAGAGAGTGAAAGAAAGAAAAAACAAAAAAAAGTAGAAGAAAAGGCCCAGAAAGCCAAAAGCTTTAAAAGCCAAAGTGGAGCTAAGCTACTTTATGACCCCATGACCGACAATATCAAAGCTCCTGCATTCAATACTGGGAACAGAGTACCGACTTGCATCCTTCTGCTGAGACAGCTTCCAGTAACAGTTTAGATCTAATACTATTTGTTTTGTGTGTTGCTAGATGATTTGGAAATTGTATTTTGGATTTCTTGAAAATATTGGATTTGGCGGTATTTGCTACGGTATTGGATCTTGTGTTTTGAAGTTTGAGTGTTGGGTTTTGAAGTTTGAAATTTGATTGTTTGAAAGTTTGAAACTTTTTTGTCTCCCACACTGGAGAGAGGATTCTCTACTTAGAGAGAGAGCTCCCATTTTAGGGAGTGCCTGGTCTATCTTAACTATTGTGGGAATGTCATTGATTGACTTGAAACATAAACTTGTGCTCATTCTCGTATTTGATTATACTCAGAGTTGATTGCCTGAGCATCTGCTTGTGCAGCTTTGATCAACCACACGGAAGGTTGACTTCCCCCTAGTTTTGCTAGGTAGCTTTTAGCACTAGTGGCCAACGTGGCAAATAATAGCATTGTTTTTCATCTTCTTCATTCATGTGGCTAACCATGTTGATGTCCTTGTTGCCGGAGGAGGTGAAAATGACATCTCCCCTAGAGACCACATCTTCCAGCATTGAAACTAGGGAACTTCCACGAGGCCTTGAAGAGTAACGCTGAGTCCACTGAACTTTGTCTCGGTGGCCACAAGAAAATCCTTTTTTTGGATTGTAAGTGAGAGTTCGAATTTCATCTGTAGCAAAAAAAATTTAAAGAAAGTGTTAGAACATCTCTTTGGTCTATTCAAATCCCAATTGCAGCAAAAAAAAAAATTCAAAAGAGATGTCGGAACACTCTTTTAATTACACGGCCTCTTTAGATTTCTTTTCCTCGTAGAATAGGATAGATTAGATTATACAAATATTATTGTTACCATAAAGGAAAAAAGGAGCCTTGAAGAGCACAAATTGGATCAACCTCAGTCACATAACACAACCACCAGCTTGCTTCTCCAACTTGAAGCATCGGAAGAAAGTATAATTTGAATCAGTCCGACGACTTGGACTTTTCCAACTTGGCAAGTCCACGCAAGACTTCACAGCGAGACTGCCATCCTCGCTTAATTGTCCGGGACCAACAATCCGCGGCCTCACCTACTTAATAAATGCCAAACGACTTTGAATTAGCAGCAAATCCCAATCCTACGCCAGCTTCTTATTTTGTCTTCAATGATGCAACTAGCAATCATTCCATAAAAATATTGAGTTAGCAATTTTTCCCACTTAATTTTGTTCCAATGTTTACTCTTCTTGTATACCTCTCCTTCCACTTCAGTCTGTTGTTCACCATCACTTCCAGTGACACTCCACCTTACACGCCCACAGATTATATTCTGATCAACTGTGGCTCATCCTCAAACGCAACTTCAACCGATGGCCGACACTGGGAAGGCGATGTGGGCTCAAAATTCTTGCCGAACGACGTTGCAAATATTTCATTAGCAGACACAGCAACCGAACAACATTCCTCAGTCACCCAAATCCCTTTTCTAACTGCCCGTATCATTCGATCTCAATTCTCTTATACCTTTCCAGTCTCCCCCGGCGAAAAGTTCCTCCGCCTTTACTTCTACCCGTCCTCCTACTCCAGTGGCCTCAATACATCTGAATCTTTCTTCACTGTCACGGCTAATAACTACACCCTGCTCAGCAACTTTAACGCATTTCTTATAGTTTCTGCCAAGAAATTCGCACCTGCCTCCCTCATTAAAGAATTCATCATCAATGTTCAGGGTATGAATCAATTCCTCAAGGTTAACTTTTTGCCCTCTATGAATTCCTACGCGTTCGTTAATGGAATTGAAGTTGTTTCAACCCCGGACGACCTCTACATGGGTAACCATGACATGTACGCTAATCCCCTTAAGTTCGTGAATTGTCCCAATGTTCAGTTCGAGTTTGATCAGAACAAGACTGCCTTCGAAGCTCTTTACAGGCTCAATGTTGGAGGAAATGATGTTTCTCCGGTATATGATAGTGGGATGTTCCGAGAATGGGCTTCCGATGACAAGTTCATCTGGGGCGGAGATCGAGGAAATCCATTGAGCAATAATGAAATTGCTATCAAGTACACTCCGCAAACCCCAAATTATGCCGCGCCCCCGATAGTTTATGCTACCGCAAGGGCAATGGGCCAGTTTAGCACCAGCTTCAACTTGAGCTGGATCTTTCCCGTTGATTCTGGGTTTCTTTATCTCCTGAGGTTGCATTTTTGTGAGATCAATCCTGATTTGATTACAAAGGAGAACCAACGGGTGTTCACAATATTCATTAATAATAGAACAGCTGAGCCAGAGGCTGATATTATATATTGGGCACATGACCCTGGAATCTCGATTTTCAGAGACTACATCGTGTATGTTTCAAACCCACCAGATGGTCGCCGGAACAAGCAAGACCTGTTTCTTGCTCTCCACCCAAATCTTGACGTCAAGCCAAAATATGCCGATGCAATCTTGAATGGCTTAGAATTGTTCAAACTGAATAGCTCCGAAGGCAATCTTGCCGGTACCAATCCTGGCATTGCGGTGGATCCCAATTCCCTGGTGTCAAACACCAAGTCACCGAATAAGGGGAGCAGCGGGAAATTTCGGGTGTCTATTGCTATCGTGGGAGGGGTGGCGGGAGGGGCCGCCATGGCTTTAACCATAGGTTTCCGAACCCGGCTCCTCTCTAGGAGAGTAATCCTCCAGTTTCCCGCAATGCATACTTGGATGTCAGGCACATGTATTGAATTTTTAATCAATGGTCCGACAACACTACTCAACTACATGTTTCCCAACCATGGTTAGAAGACTCCAACCAACTTCAATCTCTCTCTTTTAGATGACTAAAATCGCTAGGACCTCTATGTCAACTTCTCCATAATTTTGGCTTTCATTCCCAAACGTTGTAAGCTATTACTTTTTGAGTTAATTTTTCCGACATCATTAGTGTAAACCTACTTTACATGGATGGCTCACCGTATTGCAGCACCTCGTTAATAAAAATTAGCAACCTATTATAATCTGCAACCATTACCTATTGCCAAATATAAAATAGTTTAATGATAAATATCTTGTTTAACTAACATGATAGTAGGAGCAAATTCCACGGCATTCATCATTTGTGAGGACCCGAAAAATTTCTTATTTTTTTTATTATCGAGTATTATTGGTCTATTTAAATATTTATTCACCTATTTTCTCTAAATAATTTATTTCAACCATTCTAAATCCATTCATATGAAACAATGTCTTCCTTATGTTTTTAAAACGTCCTGTTAGTAAATTTAATTTTCGAAGGTTCGTTTAAGTGAGGAATAATGAGTACATGTGTTTTAAGGTGATATTCTATTCGAGAGTGCATTTATCTTGGGGAGTTAAGAATGATCAATAGTAGATTAAGAAAGGTTAACGAGGAATAAATACTAGACTCCTGTGAGGACTCGCAGAAATTTATTATTTTAAATTCCATTTCGAACTTATTTAAATATCTAATGGCCCGTTTGTTCCGAATATTATTTTCTAACCTTGTTAGACCTAATTATATGGGTCTATAGCTTCGTTATATTTCTAAAGTAACTTGTTTCAAAATTTAATTTTTGGAAACTCGTTTACAGTGAATAGTGTTACGCGTTTGGAGATTATAGCCGATTTGGGAGTACAATAAGTTTGAAAAATTGGAGACTTGTACAATGGTCTTAAAAATAGGTATTTTATGTTTAAGTACTTAAGTGATAGTTAGTAGTATTATCGTTATAAGAATTTCTTGGAAGTTTCACTTTATCGCGCTTAAATAGGAAATACGCATTTTTACGCGCGCGATTTAATTGAGGGACTTTAGATCCTTATTTTGGGACAATTAAGAGTGAATAATATTTATATGAATATAAGTGTATTAAAGGTTTAGTGCACTAGTGAAACAAACTCGAGAGGAATCGAGCACAAAACGCGGGCGTACGCGCACTATTCCTAATTGACTTTGAAGCAAATTTTGGCCACAAATTTAAAAGCTTCTCACGGAAGCTTACTAACAGCACTAGCTCTTCTTTTCCTACTCCAAACAGCCAAACAACAAGGAAGAAAAACAGCTCCAAATTCCTCTTCATTTCTTCACTAAATCATCACCAAATCACTTCAAACTTCAACCACACCTTGCTAAGCATTTGGGGATTATCTTAAGCTACCTAAGAGCTTGCTTTTCCACGGTTTTTGTGAGCTCTAAGAGGACCAAAATTTCTGTTTAAGTTATCAACAAAAGTAAGTAACGATCAACCTTGATAATCTTGATTTATGGAAGTTCTATTGCACATCTAAGCTTATGCATGCATGTGGGTAGTTTGTTTATGTTGGAAAAATTGTTGTGTGGGCTCTATGAACTCCCATGTTGATTGGATGGACTGATTTGGTGAATGATGATGAAATTAATGTTGGTTTAGTGCTTATATTAGAGGATTAATGTGGGGTTGTTGAAAGAAACTCAAGGATGGTGTAATAAGCAAAAGTGACCATTTTACCCCTGCCATGTTCGTGCACTTTGGTGCGAATTTTTGAGATTTTAATGCCTTTTTTATGGTGTACACATGTTATAAGGATGGTGTAGAAAGTTTCATTGAAAAATAACATGATTTGGTTGGTCAAATGTGTCGATTTCTAAAGTTTGGCAGAACTAGAAAAGTTTCCCGGATTGCCCAGGCAGTCCTGTTGTTTCGGCTATAACTATTTACTCCGATGTCAAAATAGAGTTCTGTTTGTGGCACTGGAAACTAGACATTCTCAGTTTTCTATTGGTATAAAGTGCATGTCCTGGTTCCACTTGTGTGAGCCAAACCATTCATTTGAATTTTGCTGTCCTATTTCGTTGGTTCACTACAGGGTAGAACATGAACTACAACTTGATGCTCAAATGTGAGCTAGTTGTGGACGGATTTTGAAAATGGTTTCTTCTGAGAAATTGTAGCTTTATGAAATTATTTTTCAATGCCACCAACCATGTCCAATTCGGAGTTGAATTGAGTGATTTGTGGCCGTATTTCGAAACTGACTTCTTGAAGGAAAACTCTCCTTTTGGGCAGAATTGTAACTAAACTCGATTGAGACTTGTTAATTCGAGATTCTTGGTGTTAATCACCCAAAATTGTGTTTTGGATACCTCTTAGACATTTTCTATGTAAATGGACCGTGTTTGAGGTACTTTGTAAGCCAAATGTTTTGAAAACGGAAAACGAAACTCGCAAGGCAGATTTGCCTTGGAAATTTTGGAATTTTGGTGATTTGGTTAACCAACTTTTCATGCTTATTTATCCATGAAATTTTGGTGATTTGCCTTAGACATTATATGGTAGTATTATACTGCTAATTTTGGTGCTATTCCGAGGCCGTTTCATTGCTTAACTAAACTTCCAAAGTTCGTGACTTGAATTTGGAAAACCCTTGTTTAACAAAGAAATTTGGGTAACTTTGAGCTACCATATCTTGGTGCTCAAAACTTCAATTCTCGTTCCTCTTGTTCCATTTTAAACTTTGATTGCAGCTCTAGCTGACTTTCAAATTTGAGAGGCTAGTTCCAATTCTGTGAATTTTGCCGAATTTTCCAATTTGGCGAAAAACCAACCCCGAAACTGCCTCGATAGTCTAGAACCGAAACTTTGAACCAAATTTTGAATACCTTCTGTTTGGAATCATGGAAAATGGTCTTTTAAGAACTTTTATTACTTTGAAAGATATTTCCAATGGTACCAAGTTTTTCAATTTTGGACTTGTAGAGAGTGAGATACGATTTTACAAAGTGAGTGCTCCAAAGCTGGAAAATTCATAACTTAGAGGAAATGAAGTTTTTCCAAACGCTCTCTCTTCCTTTGATATCACTTGATCGTTTTACACTCGATTTCAAAGATGGGAATCAGATTTCACTTGTGTTATAAAATCTCACTTTTGAGTCTCGATTTACGAATAATTAAGACTCATTTTCGTGAAATTTTCTGAGATCGCACAAATGTACAATCTTTCTTAATAATTGGGGTTGATAAGTGATTGTTCATTACTAATTGCTCAAGCACACAAGAGGACCTTCCAGAGGATCCCACGGTGGACGCTTGAACTTCAAGTGCCCCTTTTCTTCCTCATTACTTATATTGGTGAGTGTCAAGTGTATGAATACTTGATACATGCTTAATTGTTATAATTGTTTGGAGATTTTGAAAATGAAAGCGAGTGTGTACTTTACCGCACTCGTTCTTATTTGAAATGAATGACTTATGATTAAAATGAAACGAATGAATTATGAATGACTTAAATGAATGATTGAAATGTATTGAATGAATGAATGAAATGTAATAGTATGCTATGGCTGCATACGTCGCTGGAGTGAATCTCCTCGACTTATAAATGTTAACTGGGGGACGTCCAAACTCATAGGCAAACCTTGGACTTGAGTCGGCATGAGCTTGGTCGGGAACCTTGGCTAATCATGAGAATTACATGATAAGCTTGATTTATTGGAGAGATCTTGTTTGGCATACTCGTTGAAGTATCGCCTTATAAATGATGTTCGGGTCCGGTGGGGGTATGCACGGTGGACAGGTGGAAGTAAGTGGTGATCTACGGATTGGAAATACCAACCCGGTTGACGGAGTGTCATCGCGGAAAGGTATACGAATGACCTTGGCAAAGCAAGTGGAACTTAGCTCCTGAGAGCTACCATATCCTTGAATTGTTTCTGTTTACATCTTATTGGAATTATCAATTACTTGTACTTTATCAATTGACCTGTTATTTGGGCTTGTTACTTGGACTATGTGCTTGCATGTGTGTTCTTAGCCTCACGAGTGTTTTGCTCACCCTGTAGATTTGTTTTCCTTAATAGGACTGGACATGGAATGGACTTGGAGAAACCCCTTTTGATGTACTTTTGACTTAGGGTTTCTAATGTAATTTGGGCTAGACCTCTTATTGGTTGTACTTTTGGAAACCTAATATATGATTTGGATATTGGATGTATCTGGATGTTGTATGTTTTGGGTATTGATATAACTTTTGAGAATATGATGTAAGGATTGGATAATCACTATATATATATTGTTAAGTTTGGAAGTTTTTCGCACTTTCTTACTTATCTAGTGTTGTTGAATAGTATTGTGCTAAGCTTGAATGGATATTACCATGAGTTCTGGCGAGAGATGGGCAGGCGTCCCGCGGATACCCTCTAGTTTGCCTTAGGGAGAAGTGGGGGCGTCACATCATCACTAGTAATTCACCTCTTTTTTTGCCTCTTTCTATTGTATTATGGATTTGCAACCAAGTTCCTCTACTGATCAACTCAAAATTGGGATGACAGGTTAGACTTCTTTAATCTTTCTCTCTCTCTCTCTTTTATATGTATGATGTCTTTTATAAACCCAATTTAACTTAATTTTTGCAAAGTGTAAACCCTAATTCAATATTTGTTCAAGAATGGATTTTGTAGTATAAAAGAAAGATGAAATAAATATGTCGAAAAATAAGGAAAAGTAACTAAGTTCCTCTTTATATCACAAAATTATAGTGTAGATCGATTCCAACCATGTAAATGGAAATCCTTATTAAATCTGTTTTGAATATTTCAAGAGTGGTGCAAAACATCACAGGTTTGTATAGTACCTCTACTTTTTTTTTCTAAATGACATTGAAAATTTTTAACCTGATTTGACACCATACTCAATATTGCAGAGTTGCACTTCAAGGGTTGCAAGTATTATGTAACAAACTTGATGATTTGCCCTACGAAAATGAGCAAGACAGTAATTTATCTAACTCACATTCTGAAATTCACG